TCAACTATACTTCAATTAAAAAAATATATAAAAGATGGATATCTAGGCAAGTATAGCCAACAATCAAATCAGGCTATGCATTCTCTAAAACCAAGTTTGGCCTCTAAATATTTTAACTCTCTGGTTTCATGAAGCTCACTTCACAAAGCACGTCATGAAGGCAAAGACAGGGGTCAGCTCAAGTCTAGAGAATTCCACCAAATCCTTCCTGTCACCAGAATCTAAGCCACGGGTCCAGGGAGACTGTCCACTAGTGAAGTTACTCCAAATTTCATTACTGAAGCCCTTTTATGGAATCCAGGGGTATGCATGCCAGGTAGAAAATTTTTTCTTGAAAAAAAAAAAAAGGAGCAAGATTTCAGCATATTAATTATTTAAATAAAAATCTTGAGCATCTAAGGAAAAAGAACATTCAGTGATAAAGGAGAATAACGTTTTAGTATTACCAAGTAGTATCTGAATTCTACTATTACAATACATAAAATTGATACTTTATAAAGTTGAATTTCCACTAAGTAATGACGAAATGGTATTGTTCTATTAGATTATAAAGGAATCCACCAAAAACTAGTTTATTTCACGTTTATTTGGCATCATGATTCCTTTACAGGAAACACTAACTATTCTTTGGAGAAGGGAATTAAAGAAATGAAAAGGAACAACTTGAATTCAAGCAAATTTTATTCTAATAGCATGTATATGTCACCTACATGTTGTATTAACATTGTCTAAAATAATTAAATTCGCCTGTTCTAAACACTCTTCACTAACGGAATAAATTTGTCTTCTTCTCTATTTCCTGTCTTCAGATGATATACCAGCCATTATCTTTCCCTCAAAAGTCTCACTAAATGCAACTTTCAAAGGGAAATCATAAAGGAAAATTTATGATGACACAAGAAAATGCCAATAATGACATTAATATGAAAATACATACACATCCACAAACACCATACACAAAAAGAAGAAATGCAGCCAAATGTTAACAATTTACTTCTAGGTAGTTTTGTTTTTCTTTTATATTTTTCAGTATTTTCTAAGCTTCTTATAATGAACATGTTTTGCTTTTATAGGAAGAAAAAAAATTAAGTAAGAATTTAGGGATTAAATCAGCCTTTTCTTCTACGATGTGGACTAACATCTGCTCTTAGAAGCAGGGGCCACAGGGGGGAGGGGGAGGATGGGGCTACCTGTTTTAGGGAATCACGTAGTGAAAAAAAAAAAGCCACCTTTTCCAACAAACTGTGAACTCTTCTTGCCAGATGACCACAGCTGACTGTCTTGAAAAGGCAATCTGTTTCATTCTAGGGGTGACAGTCTTTGTGAAGTAGTCTTCTTTGGTTTTCCTAATAACTATGGTACTTACCACATTATTCTTTTAAAGAAGCCCTTGTCCGAGAAAGCAGGTCCAGGAGGGACAGAGCTGACTGAAGGTCAGAGCACTCAAAGTGTCTGACACGCTCACACGGACATGACCCAGCACTGATGCCATGGTGGGTGAGGTCACAGAGATGAGTAAACCCGACTAATGGGGCTGAGGGTAACACAGATGACTGCGCCTCCTCCCACCACAGCCCCTGGGGAAGGACAGGAAAGGCAGAAAACTGGTACTCACTGCATGTGTGTAACAGTTAGCAGCATGTTCATAACAAGTTGGTTTGTAGCGGCCATTGGCGGGGGCTGGGTGGTTCATGAACCTGTAGAGACAGAGACACAAC